TAAGAAATTAAAAGATAATTTAACCTTTGTAGATTGTCGATTTAACTAGTTTATTTGATCTCATAAGCTGTGTGATACTATCTCGCTTGAAATGTGTTGTACGTAAATTGTAAAAATTTAGAAACAGATTTTGAGTGTATTCCTTAATTGATTTCGATTCGGAAATCATTGAGTCTGAACCCAGGGTATTGAGACTTTGCTGCGTGGTACCATTGCGATATTTTCTATTCTAAGCTGTAGTGTTATGATATGTAGTTCATTTGAGTTTTAAACTAATGTGTATACCAAGAAATGGAACCCTTTGTTTATGTATTTGATGTTTCCAATGTTAAAGTTGCGAAATATGTAAAATGGTAAAGTTTTAAATTATAATTATTAATATTGTATTTATATTTTTTTAAACAAATTCTTTCTTTGTGTTGCAGGTGAGTATTTGGGGCGTCATCGGTTGAAACTTGGAGACCTGAGAAGTTGGCACGCTGCTTCACAGTTGGAGACTGAATCAACAACATAACGCCGGAACACCCTTCAAAACGCCATACAGCTACCTCACACCAACTTCTTTGCCTGTATCTACTTTTACTTTTTTAAACGCCGCATTATTATTTACGTATTTTATTGTTTATAGTACGTTAATCCCTCCATCTTTGCAACAAGCAATTCAAGAGCAAGCTCATTAAGGAACGATATTCGTGGTTGGGAAGGGGAAAAAAGTAAACTCGTCTCATAACTACAATGGACGTGCCATTTGAAAACAAGTAGCCATTCCCGGGAATTGATTTTGGGTTAATACCCGTCCCCTCGTTCAGGAGATAGGGCTAGCGTCGAACTGCGTACCGTGACATCGGGACCCGCCTTGGCTTAGCGCAGGCAGCTAGAGGGGGCGTAGCGCATGCGCCGTGGAGTCGAAGTGGTGGGGTGACGTTATGCTCTGCGCCGCGCTGCGACGCGTTGCGTTGACAGCGCCTTCCCCCACTGCCGGCTCTGCGTTGGGAAGTAGCGCTCCCGGCGGGAGCCGAAGAAAACGTTGACTCACGCGTGCGCAGTGCGAGCCGCGCCTGCGGAGCAACGAGACGCAGTAGTTGCGCGTCAGCGTTCAGCCGCTGTAAATCCGGTTGAGAGCTTACGCTCGGAGCTCTCTGGAGGAGAACGGTTCGGAAAAGAACAATCGTGCGAGAATAAACTTGCCTACCTTTTTATCCAAAACCGGTCAGAGGGGAAGTTTCCGTGTATTTTGCAAGAAAGTTCTTTATCACTCATTGGACAAGTAGGATGCCAATTTGGGCAAATGTAATGTATTATCGCTAAATGGTCATGTCAATTTTCACTGAACTTCCTCTACATCTGAGAAAAAAAAATTCTGGATTTCCTATCTTGAACATTTAGGTTTTGTACGTTTGTAATTTTTATTTTCAAAAAGGTTTGAACCATCCATGTTTAATCAAATGCTGAAATATACGCCCCATAATTGTTTTGAAGTTAAATAGGACAATTTTTTATTACGCATCTGGGGTTGAGAGCGTAGATCGATTTCTTTGCTCTTCCGGGCGTTTCTGCTAGGCTGCTCGCGGAATTGTGTGCCCGAGTGACGTCAACAGCGCGGGGCGACCGCTGGGCTGGGGCCTTTCCCGCGCCGAGCGCCGCTCTGGCCGGAATGCCGGGCCAGCGCCGCCTCCCCTCCCTCGCCCTCACGCCACGCTGGCCGCCATGTTCGATGCGTTCGGTGCGCCGTGGGAGAAAACCGCTCCTCCTCCGCGCAGCCACTTTCGCCCCTCCCGTAGCGGCTGCGCCGCCGGGCAGTGTGGAGGGGGAAACGAGGGGAGGGAGTTTTGTACCCTCCCCGCCAGAGACTAGACTTCACCAAGGCCACACGTCCCCCGACTACCATTGAAGCTGCTGTGTTGCCACGTCGGTGACGCCCGCGCGGACGGCAACGTCGCATGCATTCTCTCTCATTCGCTGACCTCTCTGTCTCTGTCACCGTATTATTGTTTCCTCTTGCCCTCTCGCCATGTGCTATGTTTAGGGGTCTATATATTGTCTTTGTTTTCAAATGGACGGCAACGTTGCCACGTCTAGTTGTGTGCTGCACGATAGGAGCTGGAGATAAGGCTGCATAGCGGACAGTCGGAGGCCGCGATACCAGGTTTGCATTTCCGTGTTAATGCGATCGAGCACTCGTATTTCGCAAGTGGCATTGGTGTTAGAACGGTTTTTCGTTTCTTCTCAGATGCGCACTTTTTGGGCTTATTGTTACGTAATGATGCGCCGATCAATCTATTGTTGGCCGTCATAGTTAGAAGCGAACGTATAGCGCGGGAAGGTGTGCGACAGCGAATCGCCCGGCAGTGGTGCGGGTGCAGCGGTAATGGCAACGCCGCACGCCATTGTTGCGGACAGGTGTTCGCAGCGGCGGCGCGAATACGAGAAATCTTCCCGTCGCCTCATTCATCTTGCCTCGGGCAGGCGGCGGCGATGCAGCGGGTGGCGCGACCCATTCCCTGCCCCTGCCCCTACGCCCCCCCCCCCCCCGCCCGCAGGCGTGACGCGCCGCTGGCGGCTGCGCACTAGCGCGGGCCTATCCTGGTAGGGGGCCCCTTCGCCTGGCCCTCGCCCCCCGCCCCCCCCCTCACATCACACGATCCTGCCTGCCCGCCTCCGGAGAAAGTTGATTCTTTGAAACGCGGGGAGACGTGAGTGTACAACGCTGGCTAACGGGACCTGTTAAGCCGTAGTCCAAGGCAAAGGCCGCTTAAATTAGTGACAGACACGACCGCGGCAAACGCGCAAAGCGGCGGCGCAGGCGGGGGCTGATCTCTGCCCGCGTGGAAGTGGCAAAGGGTTTGAGGGAGGCTGCGGGACGTACGAGCCCATTCTCGGTTCTGTGGGTTTAGTGCTCCTCTCTGGGGTGTAAGATTTCTGTAATTATTATTCATTCATTTCACTAAAATCAGCGAAATTTGTGCAACATAGCTTACAGCTACGTGCCATGCAATACGCTATGTTCATCATGGAACTCATTGTTCCTCGTCATGAACTTTATTCGGATTCTAAGATCTTGGTGTTCATCATGAGGAATGAATTCTAAGAATTTGCGTATTGTTCCCTCATTATATGGTTACGAACCACGCGTGATAATACACGGATTTTTAGGAAATTTTTGCTTTTGAATTACTTTTTCTGGATGAACTGCTTCTTTTTCAAACTTATCAGCCATCTTCGATCCAATCTGAAAAGCGCGACGAGAGCAGACTTATGTCACAGACAACATTTTTATTTTTACTCTCCCTCAACTTTCAAACACAATTGCTTTACCGACCCGGAGAGACTTGCCTTTTACAAAACATAATCAGTGTATCTGAATACAGACTTTCTGATCAGAAAGTCGTAGTTGTAAGAAAAAAAATGTTACGAAAATACTAAAATGGGGAATAATAATAGTCAGGGAGATGTTTGGAAATTGATATTAATGAATTTTTGTCCAGTCCACTTACATTAATTTTTATACGTACGTCAATAAAGTGTTTTGATATGATTACCCCAATTTTTATTTTTAATTTTCATTTCAGCTGAGGGTGGACCGCACATTCTCAGCTCCTGGACACGCCTCCGGCTCATACAATCTAATCCGATAGGTATTCGAAATGTAATTGTTACGTACTAATGTTCATGAACATTAAACCTAAAACATTTAACGCACCCATCTAGGGCACCCACAGTTAGAAAATAAACCAAAAGTTATGTATGTCTCTCTTCACAACCCTGAAAAACAAGTATGTTGAACAGAAACACAATACATTTAAAAAAATGAACATTTTGTGAGACGTTTTCATTTTATGCAGTTTAGGATTTTTGAATAAGAATGTTTGTAGGGTACCAGTTTACGGGGGAAACGTTCAGTCGATGCTAGGTAATGTTTCGTAAGGGGAGGGATGTAGTTTATCTTATTGTGATATGATACTTAATACGCTTTTCTGTGAATACCAAAAGTTATATTTTTGAGAATGTTTTATTTGCATTATAAAGGGGAAATTCGCCCAAGCATAAAAAGGCGTCAATCTTTCAATATCCGGGTCTGCATATAAGTGAATAATACCAGAAAAGTTGAACATACTTTTCTCACCACAGAAACAGTGAACTTTTTTCAAGTTTTTTTGGTACAAATTCCCATGTAGACATGGTTATTTCCTATTCATAACATTAAAAATAAAATAAACTACAGAAGATCAGACGAGGCCATTAAGCTTGTGTCAAATCGCGTAATTGGTGTTATGGTTCGTGATAAAATCTGTGATTCTTCCCTTAATATTGTGAAAGTTTGTCCTTTTGATATGCAGCATCTTGCGTGTTTCGAAAGGTTGTGTTCTACTTCTGACATGTGTTGATTTTGAACAAAAATTTATAAAGGTTTTGTCGCGCGTACGCGAAAAATAATTAGAATATCACACGCACTTTCGATAGCAAATGTATGGCCAAGAACGACATAAACGAGGCATGACCTTTGATGGTTGTATGGGCTACACCAGAACGAATGCATTTACTGCTGCTGAAGCGAAAGACGTGATAACTTAACGATTCATGTGTATAATTGATCATTCCCAAAACTTGATTTTAAAGTTAATTGAAACGTTCATATTTCCTTAGGGCTTGCGGATATTTCAAACGATTTTAATAGAAACTGTTACTTCCTGTTGACTGTTTTTAAGCTAATGTTTACTTAAGAAACTCACTTTGAATACAACCGAAGAAGGAATACTAGAGATGTGTGTGTGTGCATGCGTGCGTGTTTATACATACGTGCATGTGCACTGCCCTGTGTAAAATCCATTCTATGCTATCAAGGTGAAAATGTCATTGGAAATGATAGTGCAATTTCGTTTCAAATGGTGTGATATTTCGTTTTTTCTTTTTGTTCGTTCTCTCTTTCCATGGAGCTGCTCTATGCATGCTGGGAGAGCTGAGAACAACACTCAAGTGCAGTGCTTAGTGCACGAAGTAGCATGGTGAGCTCGAGGAACAGACGACCAGTGCGGCGCTTGCGGGAACGTTCTTGTGGGAGGGCATCTCCATTTCGTTCGAGAGGTCTTGAGCCCATCGCAAATGCTTGCAAGTCGAGGCAAGCGAGTAGTGCAAGGAGCGAGGGGTTTCATCCTTCTGATAAAGAGGCGTATTTGTGTGTATGGTTAGCCGTATTAACCCGCGCCCGCCGTCCAATGAGAAGGCCCGGCTCAGCGCATGCGATGTTGCGCGGCCGGCCATTGGGCGACGGCGGCTCGGCGGTCGGTGTGGCCCCGCGGCGGGACCGCGGCGCTGCGCTGCGGGGGCGGGAGCTGGAGCGCGGGTGGGAAACTGCGGCGATGACTCATCGATCACGAGTGGGAGTCCGGTGGGAGAAGCGGTGGGGACGACATGGGGTTCGCTGGAGAGAGGGGGCGCCGTCCCCTTGGTCGGGGCAACTGAGGGCCCTCGAGTTGGCCGGCGGCGGCGTGCGTGCACGCTCGAAGCCCTTTATGGGACATTTTTGGAGATTCGACTGCATTATTCGGTCAAATAAAGTTCTAAACTTTTTGTGTATTGCCACCTTCGCCTCAGCTTTTGTTTGCGACGTGTTTGAATGATACCCTCTGCCTTGTCTTCATTGTGAATGACATGGCCAATAATTTTATTTATGAGTTTAAAAAACAATTTTTTAAAAATTTTTTAATTTTTCGTCAATACCTGTTAGTTGTCGCCCCAACACAGCCTTCATTCTGCACGTATTTGTTGAAAAGAAAAAAAAAGAAAGGAAAAAGAGAAAAGAAAGAAAAAAAAACCCTCAATGGGACCCGGAATTGAGACATTATTTAATAATGGAGAGAATGACAAGGTATAGCTCAGAAGAATGTCGTTTGTTAAAGACAAATAAAATATACGTTATTTCACATTAATTTCTCATGAATTTCTTCACTTGTGATAAGTCTTCATTATGTCCCTCGGAACTCGCGTTAGAACAACGACCAATCAGCCGCGACCTTTTCCGGGAGTATTATTGTATTCGTTTCCTTTGGAGAGATCCGTCGCAGGTGAAACTGACAAGAGAAAGGGCGATGAAAGGGAGGAGCCCGCGAGCGCGGTGCGGCAGGTATTGTTCTCCCACCCACCATCTCCTGTCTTGCTGCCCCCACTCGTGCGCGCCGCCCCGCCTTCCTCCGCCTCCTGCTCCCGCTACCAGTTGCCCCAGCAGCCCGCCCTCGGCCGCGTCTACGCCGAGCTCCTACCACTTTGCCGGCTCCCCCTTGCAGGCGAAATAAATACACATCATCCCATGAAAGTCCAAATTCTGCTGTCTGTATAACTGATCGGACAGTAGTACATAACCAGAAGGAAAGGTTTATCCTCTCTGGGCACGTACGTAAGTTCATGAGATCAAGATGCCCTTGTGCGTGAACATTGTTTGAACACTTAACTTCTTTCTACATAAACATTCACTATCAAGGAATGTAAAAATAAATATTCTAAACCACGGTTTAACTAAAATGTCTTGTGACATTGAAATACAGAGTAACGTCATGTATGTCAGGCAAAATGTCGTCCAGGAATTCTGAAATAGCGGGCCACTGCAATATTAATAAAAATACAATTATATTAATTTCCTATTGCTTCAGTATTTTTGTTATGAAACATTTGGTTTTCATTTACTTTGTTTCCTGCATCACAAATATTTCATTTGACTTTAGTTTGTCAGTAAAAATCTGTGTGTGGCATACGGGGAAAGTATTAGCCGCACACGTTTTCTTGAACTCTGGAATCCCTACACCACCCTTTTACTGCACATTTTAGTTACATGAACACTAGAAGTACCAACAATGCATGGTTACAAACATTGGAAAACATTTTCATTGGTAAACGAAACTGAAGAAACCGCAGGATTGATTTTATTGCATTACTTACAAAATGGCAACCTCCATTCCCAGTTTCTTAATTGTTGCAACGAAATGTGCGCATAAGGAAGGTATATTAATGTCCGCAAGCGAAATAAAGGCGTCATGTCAGGAATTGCTCAACACATCACAGAAACAATGAAAAACGTCCTGTTGCTTAACGGACTTGCACGTCTGTGTATTATTATTGTGTCAGTGTTCAAGTTCTTGGTCATTTTTAGAATTTGTGCATCTTGGTCACTGTCACCTAATCCATTCGTTATTACTTCATATCTAGTAGTGTTTTTTTTGTTAATTATGATTTGATTATAATTGACTTACCGGTATTCCGTGCAGATTCTACATTTATTATAATACCTAAATTGAAAGAACGAATTAAATTGAACTGTTCCTTTTCGAGAGATAGGAAGAAAATAAACGTTAAAGTAACCACATACAACAATGGATTCAAAAGAATGATAGCTAATTTGTAGAATTATCTTTAAATTTTGTAAGAAAGATCATAGCATGTCACACACAGTTTTAACTTTTTTTGACGTAAAATAAATAAAGTGAAGTAAGTACACTTTCAGAAAATTGTGCATTACTTATATGAAATGTTCAAGAACCAAATTAAATTTAATGTACCCACATATATATTAAGGTGCAAGAGTCAAATCACGTAAATACACCTGCATTTAAATGCTGGGCCCTTATTAATTAATTCGATTCTCCCGCTCTGCATTAGAATCCTGCAAGATAGAAACAGGAATTTGTAGAGCTTAGTTCATTATGATGCAACCATTGATCTGTAATGAAAAAGTGGGATTGAGATAGCTCTCTAATGCTGGCTCGATTAATTAAATTTTATTTTATAGAAATTGAACATTATGGGTATATATCACACACTTCATCACATCACATATTTATCAGTGCGTGGATGGAAAAAGTATTGTGTTCCAGTAGTGATAGCGAGGGCGAGGTAGTTGGGGTAACAGAAACTAATGAGAGAGGTGGTACAAGCATTAGGTACAGGGGATAAGGCAGGTTGGTTCGAAGGAGGTGAGGAGGGAAGAGAACTAGATGTGGATAGAGATAGATCTGGGGCAGGTCACTTCTGAGATTGGGAAATGTGTTTTATAAGCTAGCCACAGAGTACAAGTTTTCTGGCAAGGTTCAGATGAAGACTATGCTAAATGAAGTGTTTTTGTGAATGGAAGTTTGGATCAAATAGTTTAACTTTTCTTGTCTCTTAGATGCCGTTTCAATTGTTTGCGTATCTAATTTCTTTGCGTAGTGTTGTTTTCAGTTAGGTAGAGTCAAGTATACGATGTTCGTGTTTTGGACGACACGTAGCCAGCATGTTGTTCAGGTGTAAGCGATCGCCCAATTTGACGTCATGCTGCCCCCTGTGGTGATGACTGGGTCCCATTTGGAGGAAGGTTTGTGCGAGTGTCAGTCACTGGTCGTATCAGTGAATTTTCCGTTAGGTTTACACACACCCTTGTTCGAGAAATTGGTTAGGCGTTTCCCACAGAGTAGGGAAGAGATTTGTCGCCTATGACTATCTGCTAAAATGAGTATCTTTTTAGTGGGTCCAGTGCGGATGCCCTTGGTAATTGGTAGGTCAGATATAATTTTTGTGTTTTTGTTTATTTAATACCTTTCATTAAGCATTATAAAATGGTCAATTTTGAAACCAGATCATCGAAAGTATTTTGGGAAGTGCGGATGAATTTTACTTGTTATAAGAGTTGATGACATCTCATACTGGCAAGAGAATGATGCGCATGTGTGCGTGTGTGTTCATGTAACGGGCGCAAAGGGAAACTAGTACAGTTTGCTTTCCACGGGAGGATACAATATCACTCGCCACATCTGTCATCCAATCGTCATCACCATCAAATCTTAAATCCCAGGCTGAATCGGAATATCCCGAAGAGTTTGATCGGGCTGAGGAACTGGGACAACCTTCCCACTATTTAAAGACCAAGAAAGTCCAATACGTAAATATCATAGCCTACACGAATCACAAAACCCAAATGTAACCGAATGAGACAAAAGCCAATGATCGAAATGCATCGGGGCCGGTGGGCCGGATGGACCTCGCTCTTCCAGGGATATCTTTTGAGTGAGTGCGGCGAAGCGACTCCTGTGTCTGATGTGTCGATTAGCGAGCGGTGGGCTAACGACAAGGGTTCGGTGGCGACGCGGGACGAGGGGGAGGGGGGGCGGAGCCGCGGGCGTTGCACCCGCCGCGCCCCTACTGGGAACCGGCTGCCCCGCCCGGTCCCTCCCCGCTCGGCCCCACCTTTCCCCGCCCGCCGAGTGGGGTGTTTGCTTTAGAGGAGTCTGGCTGATAACCATGCTAACAGCGGTACCCGGTCGTCTTGTCCTCTGCGTTCGCGTCCGCTAGCGAGCAGCTTGAAACACCTGGCGCTCAGGTCTGGCTCGTCAATATTCTTGGTGCACTGTTCGTGCAGAACGAATGTGCGAGCACCGCACATTTCGGAGAGTTTCATTCCGTGGCCCCTTAGAGACCCATCCATCCCACTCCACTCTACTCTACCCCACCTCATCCCTGCCCACCGCACCGCTGCCGCTACCGCCATTCCATGCCACGAGTATATCTAACGGCTCTGCCTTCCCTGAATTTTCCTCTGGGGTTTTTACTTTTCTCGCCGGGAAGGCGCTGACTAGCGCTACGACTACGTCTTCTGTCTTCAACTTATGAAACCGACGTGGAAGTGAAGCATATTATGTTATATTCTGGAAAAAATATATTCTATCGATACTTTTTCCGTGCTTTTTTCATAAATTGGTAGAAAGTCTTCCTTGTTTACACTTACGCTGTACTACATCGACGTGTGCGTCAAACTCCACGAATATTTGTCTTGATATGATCATGTTTTACTTTTCGCCGGCTTCACATATTGAAAAGGTACAAAGGTATTGTGATCGGTCAAAAAAATCGAGGTCGAGATTCCGCTGGTAAAATCAGTTTTCAGTTTCCCTGAGAAAACCACCCGTGACGTCCATGTGGATGGGTCAGTGGAAATTATGCGTGTGTGTGTACGTGTGCTTTTGAATTGTAACTTGGTACATACGTTTGGAGTAAGACATGTACCAAAGAAATTTAAGATTGTTGGTCAAGAACAACGAATAAAATACTCGAATTACAAATTCCAAAAAATGGAATTTCTATAATTCTACTCGTGAATAGCAAATATTTAGTGGCGAGTGGCCTCTTTCTTAGTCTTCTGTCGCATTACGTCACCTATATCGTAAATGACGCACTGAGTACTATGAGAATTCAGTAGTTGATTCGTACAGTTTGAAAATAACAACCAAATATTTGCGTTGTCAGTCGAAATAAACCATTTAATGGTTTTTGGATTTCCCCCCAGTTCTCTGTGTATCTTAACGAAACTATGGAACCTCTCACAGAGGATGTGTAGTTTTCCGTGAATTTGTGCGTATATTCGAAATTAATAATGTTGGTATTTACTTTTTATGTTAAAATTACAGTAACCTTTAATATTTATGAATATTAATTTAGAAGAACATTTACATTTTATATTACGGTTAGATTAGGAACATTACCCTGAGATGACTTGGAAAAAATGATGAAAAGTAGAAATAATTGGTTAATTTAAATCAGTGAAATAAAATACTTATTTTATTTAAATGATAGTCTATGATATAGATGAAGTTTTAAA